AAAAAAAAAAAAAAAAAAAAAGAATAGAAGGATGGCAGCTTTTGTCAGGTCCTGCTGGAGACGACCCACAGAGCAGGAAGGAGTGAGGAGAGCCCTCAGAGCTGGGAAGAAGTGGACTAAGCCAGGAGGACTGTGCCAAAGCTGGCTTAAGCTCTGAGATGGTAGCGTGCCTCCTTGCAGGAATTATGGGGGGGCAGGATGGCAGAGGCTGGAATGACCTACACTTTGAGAGTTCTGGACAGGCAAGGGGGCAGAGGGCTGGGAGAGAAGGACAAGGGGCAAAACTCCCTCTTCTCCTGTGGTGAGGAAGCCAATTCAAACCTTGTGACACAAGTGGTGAAACAGAGCCCAACAGGCACCAGGCTTCTGGCCCTCAGGAGAGAAAAAAAAGCAGACAGAAAAGAGGGAAAGGAAGGAGTCCTACCCCTCCTCAGACTAGCATCTAACCCTGTGACTGAGGGAAGGAGGTAACTTAGTCCTCCTCAACTCCCACCCCCACCCAGGGAGCTGACGGAGCCCTCAGCCGTGGGAAAAGAAAAGCAGGATAGGGAGCATCAGCTGCATTTTCTCCTGAAATTGCTTCTGAAAATGACCAGACACTTCACTGGGAAAGTGACGACAATTTGGGCCCTGGGAGCAGATGAGGCAGAGCGGAGGCGATGAGACTCAGGTCACCCACCACACACCGCCTTTCTGGGCCAGACCGGATCTTTTTGGCCTGATTCGGAGAAGTCAAGGATGGGGGAGTTGTCAGGGGTGGAGAGAGGCCCACTACAGTTTGAACTACCCCTCCTTTAAATACTTCCTCCACAAGAGCCCCTCACCAGCCTGGGAAGAGCCAGTCCTATCTCAACTGGAGCAGGGGTTGCCAAAACATGGGGCTTGTGCTCTGAAAGCAAGAGTAATCTGCAGGCAGGAAGAAGTTAACCAGGTCTGCCTGACAGCACGATTACCTGGGGCCATGAGCTGCCTGCTAATGGAATCCAGAAGCCAAAGCAAGAAGAGTGAGACCCCAGCCTCAGGGCACAGATAGCTCAGAGCTTAGTGGAGGAGGCAGGGAAGGTAGACGCAAAAGGAGGAAGAGCTGGCAACAAAGGCAGCCCTTCATACACTCTCTTACACTGCAGATCAAAATTTCACTGTGAATATTATGAGTGTGATTTTCCCAAAGGCAGAAACCAGGATGACAAGAGGTTGAGACGAGACACGGTCTATGAGGAAATAGATATGAAGGGAAGTAGAAAAATATATAAAGCATTCTGCAAACTATCATGTATTAATAATAGTCAGAGTCCACGCACATAGGGACAATGAGATGGTGTGAGGCAGTTGTAGACTCAGAAGAAGGTAATGACAATGACACAGAGAAAATAAATGAAGACTAGAGAAAAGGAGTTGAGTCATAGGGATGAGAGAGTCTGGTGAGGGAGCCTGCCTCCGTCAAGTGGCAGCGGCTGCAGGCCCCCACTCGGGGACGGTGATTAGCCAGAAATCGCTGGCAATAGCCTGACATCTCAGGTATATGGAAAGGAAAGCAGCGCCAGGAGGAAGATGTGATGCAGCGGGGTGCTAAGCTTGCGGGTGGAGGGGTGACAGAGCTCCTGGACAGGGAACCCTGCATTCCCCAGCTCACCTCGCCTTGCGTGAGCTCTCCAGCCTTGGGCCTCTTTTCAGGTGAA